GGTGGTGGTCGGGTTCATATCAAACCTCCTATGAAAAGGGGCCTCTAATTTCGGAATTGGAACATTGGACCTTGGCACGGGTCGGGAACGTGTTCGTTTGCCTGGGTCACATGTGAATATGCGAAAGCAGCAATATTGAATACCCGAATGCTGTAGATCATCGCAAGTTCTTACTGCACCAAATAGAGCCAGTTCCTTCTAGGAAGGTGGAATGCGATACATGGCACATTCCACAGCACTAGATAAAGGAGGACTTTACGATAGGGACGAAGGTGGAAACTTACCTAGTATAAAGACTAGTGAATCTCCTAAGGGTGCGGACTGACACGCATACATATCCTCCTGGCGATCTATCGTGACCTTCCCCCGGCTCAACTGGACTCCATTGGCACGGCACTCACGTTGCTTCGTGTTTGAGTCCCTTGCCGTTTAGACAGAGAGCATTAGCATTGAAGAGGGCAGCAGCGATGAGAGTCAACAGTCAAGGAAGGGTCCCATTTCTCGGGTTCTGGCCATTTTCTTCAGTTTTTCTTGTTCCATGCATCACTGACCATCTCTGAATTTATTCCAATGGGATGCATTTTCATTGTTGAACCGCCTTCAAGAATCCGCTGCTTCATTCATTAGCCGTTGTTTTAGGTGTTCGAGCGTGTCGAACATGACGAACCCGACGACATCACTTACGCTCCTGAAATCCAAGTCAGTAGAAATTCCACCAGATCAGATGAGCGAGAACAGTGAGAATCTGCAAGAGTATTTCGATCGAGCCGCTGCCTGAGAGTGCTTTAGGTAAGCTCTGAGGATTTGCCCAACCAGTTACATTTTACCTGGTTTCATTTCTCATCCACCCATTCATTTTCATGCTGTTATATTTTGGATACAAATCCTTCTTTCAGAAGCCAAATTGCGTGAATTGAAGCCGATTTCCGCCCAACAGGCAGCACGAGCACAGGTTAGAAACGGCCATAAATAATTTCTGAACTTTTCGATTCCGCGGTGCCAGCAGTGCATGACAAAGCGGCCTCGGAATTTAATCGAAATGTTCAAATGTGATCAATACAAATGAACGGAATGCGTTCAATTCTGAATGCTGATTTAAAACATTTACGGAAGATCCGGTTGACAAAAACTACCGCACCCCTTCACTTTTCGAAATTTCGTGCAGCTCCTTCAATTTTTTGGAAGATTTCCTGCTTTTACCGTTTTTCAATGAGAATTCAAGGCAATTCACGTCTACTTGTATTTGGAATTGAAAGCACGACCCGGCATAAATTCGTGGGGTGGCAGCGATCGATGATGGATGTGGGGGTGGGCATTTGAATGGAAATGAAAAAATTAGCAAAAAGAGGAGGCGGAGCCGGACGAGTGTTCTGAGGGTCGTATCTGCATGCCGGGAAATGCTGGCTTCTTGCCAAAAACCACTGCGGCTGCAACTATCGGACGTGAAACCCGAAGATTCTTGGCCTCTCTGGATAATATCAAGCATTATCTCGTAGGAATACGAATTTGCAGCAAGAAGAGGGCACCTATGCGTTCTACCTGCGCAGCGCGTCTCGCTCATACCAACCATCATCCATCTCCTAAGATGTTCACTAACAAGTTCTACCTTCTCCCATGAGTCAGGCCACTCGCTTGAATGGAAGCTGGAGCCATATTCGGACGTTCATCACCCCAGCCACGGACCGAGGCTTGCTTATAACTAACACCTGTTGCTAAATTCCACTTTTTTCGTTTTTTTTTGTCACCCTTAACCAAAGCTCAGCAACCTCAGTTCTCGTCATCCAAAAGCTATCCTCCTAATTGCTCTTGCTTCATACTTTTTCACTAAATTTTCCAAGCGCGACCGCCCTCAGCTCTTCACCTCTGACCGTTCACCTCGCGAATCCCTCATAAATAAGTAGGTAGTTCATCACATCATTTTTGGCACGTCCGCTGTTTGCAAGGGAAATGGACATCATAGTTGCGGGTGACATCAAATGGGGGTCACTCATATTATACTTTACACTGACACCACGTCCCAGCTGTGCTTTTCTACTGCCTTCACCATCCTGCGTAGCTCCTTTTTACCAAGCACATTCCCTACGTACGACATAGGCGTTTACAGATTTTGATTGGTTCACGGATTGATCAGTGTGAGAGCTTTTAGCTTTCTTTTTGTTCAAATGCTTCTACTTTTTTATTCAGGCGCCTCACATAGTGTCCGCCAATCGAGCTAACAGTAACTCATCGCTAGCATCCGGTCGTAGCGGACGTAGCAGCAGTGAAGGGTTTCCGAAAGTACGTTTTCTGCAGCACTATTCTTTTGTGTTATATTATCGTGAGCCCATTCCAAAGGAGTATGGTGAGTATTCATCAGTGAGGCCTTTCGCCTGCTGTTGGAGACCAAGCATATCGCATTGAATGAGTGGATGCTGACCCACTAGTTGGCTCTCAATTGAGCTGCTTCAATTTGCGGAGTCAATTAAAATTTAATTTTAATCATCAGTTTTAACCATCTGTATAATAGAGACCATATTGTTGCATTTCCATGTGCTTTGCCACGCTTGTGCTACTCTGTTTGGAAACTAACCAATTTCAACTTGAGAAATACGGTTTTTATAGCTATATTCCTCTTTAAAAAACGGAAGGAGAGCGTCGGGTGCAGACCATACACCACAAGTGACGACGGCCTCCACAAAATGTAAATGTTTTCTGCCAATGAAATGATTAGCCTGTTGCAGTTGTCACTAATTACAACTATCATTTACCAAAAATCAGCTATCACTATGAACCACTACTAACCAGATTTACTTGGAGGCCGTCGTCACTTGTGGTGTATGGTCTGCACCTCGACGCTCTTCTCGTTTTTTTTAAGAGGGTTTTAAGTTTTTACAACGTTTCTCGAACGCGGAACAGTAACAAAAACCGAAGAATCAGGGTAGTTTACAAGACAAGAACTTCATGTATCCTACAAATATAAATCTTTTGCTAGACAAAGAAGGTAAAGCAAGTAACGGAAGGATTTCATTTCTCGAAACGAAAACATGAAGCGACAACTCCTATGTTGTATACTAACTTGAAAACTTATTAGTAGAGATAGTATTCATTCTTGAGCTGCACCTTTTTCCATTGCGCGTTT